GCAATATGGTTCATGGGGTCATGAAGAGTCAGACACGACTTAACGACTAAACAACAACAATGTGCTTCACTGATTATAGAAAGGCCTTCAGTTGTGTTGATCATGTCAACGTACTCAGAAAAATGGGAATCCCAGAACATCTCATTGTCCTCATGAGAAATTTATATACAAGTCACAATACCGACAGAAAATGGTGAAACAGACTGGCTCCAGGTCAGCAAAGGAGTGAGACAAGGCTGCATACTCTCCCCTTATTTATTCAACCTCTATGCTGAATATACAATAAGGGAAGCTGGATTGGAAGAAGGTGAGCATGGTTTTAAAACTGGAGGAAGAAACATCAATAACTTGTGCTATGCTGATGACATTACCATGATAGCCAAAATGCAAAGGAACTGCAAGCTCTAGTAATAAAAGTTAAGCAAAGTGAAAAAAATGTGACTAAAATTAAATATAAAGAAGACCAAATTAATGACAACAGGTACAGCAACCAGCCTTAGAACTGACAATGAAGATACTGAAATGGTAGATAGCTTCTGCCTTTTAGGATCAACCATCAAGAATAAAGGAAAAAGGCTCAAGAAATACAGTGTAGATTAGCACTTGGTAGAATAGCCATGAAGGTCTTGGAAAAGAGATTCAGATGCTGTGATGTGTCTATACCTTCAAAGAATAATGCAGACAACAGTATACCCTGTGACACTTTATGGAAACAAATGTTGGACTTTAAAGAAGCCCGATAGAAAGAATATTGACACTTTTGAACTTTGGTGTTGGAGAAGACTCCTGAGAATACCAACCTAACAAACAAATGGATCATCAAACAAATCCAAACAGAGTTCTCACTTATCATACTTTGGACACATTATGTGAAGACCCAGCTGCTGGAGAAGGATCTAATGCTGGGAAAGGTGGAAGGAAAGAGGAGGACAATCAGCACCAAGGTGGAGTGACATAGTTACAGTTATAGAAACATTCAAACCAGATTCATCCTACCTTTGATTAGTAGATATCCTGGTTACCCAGACTCAGCCTACGCCCAGATGCTGCTCATAAATGAACTGTCTTCTGTTGCATGGTGGCTAGGTTTTGTGCAGCAGCATGGAAGATCTGCTGGACCCTGATGGGCCAATTTTCCACTAGCTAAACACACTCTATTTGAAATTCACTTAAATTTTAGATATCACTTTTCTGTAATTTTAGATGTTATTATATTTTATATAATTTTAGTGTCTATTTTATCATTTAAATATAGACTGTATCAAGGACCTCACTCATAGATGCTAGTTAGACTGTTTTATAAATGTATTTTAACTTTGTCTTAAATTTTATTTTGTTTATTATCTATTTATAAATTTCTAAATATATATATTCACAGCGCACTCTGTACTGGTCTACAACTACAATAAATTGAATTAATTAATTAACAGTTACAGTGGTGATAAGCACACCGTTGGATGACCTGACAGAACAGGTTAGGGACAGATCGTCATGGAGAAAATCTATCAGTGTGGTCACTAAAAGTTGACACCAAGTTGATGGCACAATCTATCAACCAAAGCACCTCAGTTTTTGCCTGGTTGTAAAATTGCTTACTTTTCCATAATGTTCAAGGCAATTAACAACTGTATCATTATATAAAATTCACTTACAGACATTTTCAGATGTGATGTCAAGGACACTGTCCTGTATATTTTATATTGTATTCTACTGTATTTGTAGCACTAACACACTTTATAATTATTAAGCAAGTTGGTGAAATGTTATCAAAATTTCAACAGTTCAGGAAGCTAAGTTATCATCAAGTAACATGTTCTCAGCCCAGCTTCTGTGAAGAGAGTTATAAAGGAAAAGTAAATGAAAATCTTACCCTGAAAGCTATGTGTATATGTGATGCTATTGTTTTGAAAATACAGTAGGAAATCCCAGAAAGAAAGAGCTGATGAGCACAGGGAGAAGAAGGAATACAGTGATATTGTAATTTTTTTAATGATGGTATATGCATTGCAAATTCCTGTTAGAAAATTTAACCCCAATCTTTAGTAAAAAAAAAAAAAAAATGTTTTATGAGAATCTGAGATTGCCTGCAACCACTACTAGCATGAATTATTAAACATAATTCAAGATAAGTGAGGAGGCAAATATGGATACTTGGATATACTCTAATTTGCAAAATGTTGAAACACTCTCAAAAGATCAACCACGCAAATGCACGCACAGGAACCAATTTTTATATTAAGATCAGCTGGAACAAGAATACATGGAACACTGTACCGCTTCTAGCAATCTGTTTCTGCCCCTATCTTGAAGGCTGAAGCCTTGAACATCTGCTAAAACAAAATGAGAATGTGAGCATTTTAAAGTTAGGTAGGGAACAATGTGATGAGAAGCAAAGATATGGGTGCAGATTGACTCAACGTTTGAGTGATTGGGAAAAATGCATGCATTAGGCAACTAAAGTTCCTGTTCCATAGCTGTTTCCTAGATCGGCACAACCACTTTATTCTGAGTGGTTTCCAACCATATAAACTACTGATTGCAGAAGGGATATGACATTTATGGTTAGAATAGCTGTACTATGTCTAGGCCTCTAAAACACTGAGATGGTTTCCTGTAAGTCATAAGACTGAAAGTAAGAAACAGTATCTGCAATCAGCTTGACTTCTTAGGACAAGTTTAGGCAGAGGCTTATTAACTAGGGAAAAAAACTAGGGGGGGAAAAAAAGTACATATGCTATATCCAATGCATAAATGAAAGAGAAAAGTTTTATTCCTAAAGCAATCAAACTGAGTTACTTTTCTTATAAGTGCATCATAAATAGCAAAGTAGATGTAGCACATACATGGAATTACTCAATATTACATTTAATTCATCTTACGTCATGAGTTATTTTTCCTTTATGTCGATATATATTAATTGAATTTTAAAAAGAAAGCACAGAAGAATTACAAGATTTGTCACCAAGGTGACATTCCTCTGTAAAAATTAATTGGCTTGATACTAAAGGTTCATGGAAGCAACTGGATCCAACAGAACTTCTGCAGGCAGTCAAGGGAAAGTAGTTTTGTCAGTTTCCCTTCAGGCAACTTCTTCTATGCCATCTAAGAGAAGCTCCAACATTCTAGAGCAGGGTTTTGTGGAGCTGCAAGATAAAAAAGGATTGGAGATCCACCAGTACCAAATATCATGGGTGAAATCCTGAATTTTGAACTGTGGATCCAACCTACAGTGTACACTTGTCTAAGGTTTTTTTTAGTATAGATTGAGAAAGCACGCAGAGCTAGTATAAATTCCCATAGATATGGTGAGTATATAAGTACAAGATGTCATAGATTAAAGTTAGATGATTCCTATTCCAGCTACAACAAAAAGAAATAGATTCATGAAATGAAATATTTGTTATAGGCAAGATGTAAATCTCATTAACAGCAAAGCTGGAAAAAGTCATACATAGATTAAAATGATGAGACTCATTGGACAATGCTAAAGTATAGATGGGGAATACATGATTTTTATAAACTGAACAACACTTAGATTGCAGTAAAAGAAAAATTTATAATTTTTACTCTCTGAAGAAAATGCTAATGTACAATTCGAGCAGTTAATTAGAATCTGGGGAAATATATATATATATATATATATATATATATACACACATATTCATATTATTCTGAAATATTTTATTAATTGTTTGGGAGATTTTCAATATGGTGAGGAAAATTCTACAAGTAGTAATAGAAAAATTATATCTATGTATATATAGTGTAATTAGTATAAAATGCAGAATTGCTTGCAAAGCATACTAGAAGCCCTGGTTGACAGAGTCAAGTTCCTTGGTAATCAGTAACTGAAGGTGTTGTTTTTTTAAAAGAGCTGTATAAATAGCCTCCCTTTTTAACCTTTGTATGAAAATAATTATAACAATTGAATGGACATTGTAGTATAAACCCAATTTAAAAATTATTCTGATTGAGCCTATCATGTCATCTAAGTAGCCATAGCATTAACTATACTGAAAAGTAGAATGGGTTTCTTTACTTGGAAGAAGCCAATGGGCTTCTATTAAATTATAAGAAGAAGGATGTTAAAGTTCCAAGCCAATATGCTATGTACTACTTACCTTCAAAAGTCAAATAAAACTTTCCTCTGTCAAACCAGACGAGAGAAGGCTGTTCATTCTCTGTATGGCCGGGAGTTGAAGCGGAATGGGAAAGGTTAAGGAGAGGGAGAGAGAAGGACATAAGTGTGAGTCACAAAGGCAGGTTATTAATCTCACTACAGGGGAAGAAGAGGTGCTGCAAGTTGTTAATGTGCAAGGAAAATTGGAAAGGATTTTTACTGACAGTGTTCTTGTTTTGTTTTGGGAAGAAACAAAATAAGCAAGAATGGAATCCTACCAGATTGGGATAACTGTGAACTTGAGCCTTTTTTCTCGCTTGGTTAGGGTATAATATCAATGTCTGGTATCAGTTTAATATAGTTTAGTTCCAACAGCTTTGTGTGGAATTTGCCGTTTATGCATCCTTTCCCTTTGAAAGACGTTGCTGTCATCTTAGAAGGTTCTTCAAGCACGAAACATTTGAAAATGCAGCACCAAATAATATTACACACATGACTTAAAGCAAAGATCAATCAAGGGGACACCTAAAGAAGTTTCTGGAGCGACATGCCCAATTCTTGAAGCTAACATACAGTATAATTCTGATATTATGGATCTTCAAAATAAGTGGCTTTTCAAAGGGACATTAATATCTGGCTCAGAGTTTTTCCTTGTAGTGGTGCATAATTGGGATTAAAGCGGTGGGCAGAATTTCTGTAATGCCGGTTAAGTGCATGGTTTTATTCATCCTTTTACTTTATTAAAATTCCAAACTAAGAAACTTTTTAACACTACATGTCAAAAATTAACAGTTTCTTTGATTTACACCATTTAAGGATCCAGGGAACATGACTAACAACTGGAACGACATGATTAATTTCTACTACTGAAGTTAAGGCATATCTGGCCCTGAAATTCCTGGAAACAATATGTCTGTGTGTGTGTGTGTTTGTGTGTGTGTGTGTGTGTGTGTCTGAGCTCTTTGAAAGAAGAGCAGGGTATATATAATTAATTTTTTGTGCATAGTAGTTCTTAATAAGTTTTGTTATTCCTGACATATTAAAATGTTATAATTCAAACAGTATGTCACCACTCATAAACTCATTATGGAGAAACTATCATGCAAAATACTGCATTTTCCTCTATATCAGCTATGCATTTAATGTATTTGACACACATGGCAGTGAGGGTGGTAGTGAAGAAAGCATTCAGATGGTAATGGCTTGCATTTTTAATCCAGTTTAAAAAAAAAAAAACCCAGCTATGCTCGTACAGTACCTGCAGGCGTTTCACAATGCCTTGCAAAAATGGGCAATTTGTCATTTTAAGCATCATCTTCCGAAACCCACAAGCAAAAGAAATGCAAAAGAAAAACAATGAAAACACAAATTCTAATTGAAAATCAAGTAGCTCCTTATTAACCAAATCCACAAATATTGCAATGAAAAAGAAAAGATCTTACATAGAAATGGTGGATATCTCTCTTTTATTATCAAAATAATATTCAATACTACTACCAACACAAAAAACAAATACAGGAAAGGACAAATTAATGAATGAAATCTGTGCTACATTCTTTTGGAGAAAGTGTAAATATATGGGATAATCTTTAGAAACAAAGAGAACAATACTTGAGAAAATAATATAAGATTGATAAGCATAAAGTCTCTGGGTTACTAAATATTACTCTTCATTTCAAATGAATGTGTTGGCAAAACCTTCAATTTTTTAGATTTGTAGAAATTAAAATCTTGCCCTTCCCATCTACTCCGGCCTATTGCAATCATACCTGATGAAGTGTTATTTATTTTTATCCAAAACTTTAATAAAATTGGATTTGTCTGTTTTCATATGTAATGTATTATATTTCATTCAGTGTAATGAAGGAATGTATTATATTTCATTCAATGTAATTGAAGAATGTATTATATTTCATTTAGTCATTCTTACAGTTTGAAGGTATTTCCCAGTGCATATCCCCCCAAATCAGTTTTGCTGTAACTGGGAGTAGCTTGCCTGCTTGTGATCCTACTGTGGTGAAGACCCAGCAAGAGGGGGAACTGCTCCAAGGGACAAGTTCCCAGCATGTACTTTTGAACCCTACATTGATTGTTCAAATGAAAGGCCCAAACTAATCTTTGTACAACCAAGTTTGGCTCAACAGTAATTGCCACTTCATCCCCACAATAGAAGCTGCACATCATGTTTTGCCTTGAGCTAGAAACTATTATATGCTAAGCCATTCAGGATATTCAACACACCTCGTGACATTATATGCAATTGGCTAAGCCCGTCCCACCTCATCCAATACCAGACTGCATTATCAATTTTGACAGCAATTTTGACAGCATCAACAGGCTTTTTGAGTAAATTAAGTTTTCAAACAGACATGGTAAATATATAATCTTGTTTTTAGAAGATAGGGGACTAAATTCCATTTATTTTCTTCCAAAGCCAATACATTCTGAGGAATTCCCTGTTTTTTTCTTCTTCTTCTCATCTTATAGGAAAAATTGAAGGGAGATTGTTAAAATTAGGATACCTGTGGGAAATACGGTCCTTCCCTCCGTCCCTATTCAGGGAGAGCATGGGGAGAACACAGAATTTGAAAATTTAATGATTGTTTTCTTCATTTGTAACAAGGAAACAATTTTTTGAGCATGGTCACAGACATCCAACAATACCAAATGGACAAAACAGCTTGCTTTAATAGAAAGAAAAAACCTTATACGCTTGCATTCAATAACACATTAAAAATAGTCTTAAAAATAGTTTGCCTAGAATGTGATCATTCCTATGGCTCTCTCTAGAAGAGAAATACAGATTCAACATATTTCAAATGTAGAAGTTGAGAAAATAAATTATATTGTGTTAAATATATCTAGTTGGAGTCTTATTTTAATATTCTAAGCATAAACAATGCTTAACTACTTATTCATAACACATAAGTAATCATTAAACACAACAATGATGATGAAATAGAAGCCAATATAATTTCTTAGCCATTTTTCTTGTGTAATATTTCCAGTCATGTGTGCTACAGCCTATCTATATCCCATTATATATTTGACAAAATCTCTAAGTCCATCCATCTACTGTAAATACAACCACTATATTTTGGTAATTTTAATTTCTATAGAAGGTTTCATTAAAGATACCTCAGCAGTTCCACTAAACATAGTAATTACTCTAAGCTAAATTGTATATAATTAATTCATCACGCTTTTGTTTTAACTTTATCAAGGTCCTGCACGTTATTATACAATTAACAACAACAACAACAAAAGTAGCCTTCAGGGAACTCCACATTTTTTACTTATTGTGACTAAAGATTGGAGTTTGCAAGTCCAGTGAAAAGCTTTAAAAGATCAAAAGTGTACAGAGTTTTAAATAGACTGTAAACATTTTGATATTAGACAACCCTTTCAAGTATTGCTTGATTTATATTTTAATTGTTGCTTGAGCAATCAGGATTTTTTCAAGTATGGAACTTACAAGCTGAATAGACTCATAAAAAACTTGTAACTTGAAAAAATGCAGAATATACTTATTTCTGCAGTTTCCATTTCTCCACATAACAATTTAAAAATTAATCAGTTGGGTAACCATGTTCCATAACAGTCCAAGAATCTAATTCTGATATAGAAGATTCATTTTCCCTACAAAAGCTACAATCCAAAATCAGTAGAAACTAAATTATATTTTTTAAAAGTAAAAGTATAACATTTTATGTTATATTTTTCTGAAATGTTTCACCCTATCAGAAATAGAATTTCAAAGAAACATAAGCAGAGCCATACTTCTAATAATAAAAGTATATGACAAACTAAATGTTTTTCTTTAAATGATGTCTGTGTTTAAATAAAGGAAAATAATTATTTCAGTGGAAAATAGGTTCCTTCCTTATAATCTGCTATACTTTCACAGAACAAGACAAATTCCAAATTAGAGTTTTCACAAATCAGTCTGCAAGACTGATTTGCAACTGTAATGTTTAAAATACACTTACTGTCTGAAGATTTGACAGCATGCTCTTTAAAAACTAAGTTGAGTAACATCAGTTTCTGACAAAATGCACTAATCCATGGAACATTCAATTTCACGTACAGTACAAGGATTTGAGTCACTGATGACACAGCCTATTAAAAGACCTGTTTACAACATTACAGCATTAAATGAAATGCTACTCATTCCAGTGATTGATATACATCAATAAAATGCTCGCCATTCTGTTTACCAACAGCAAATAAAAACAAAGGAGATAAATATGAATTAGGAAGGAAGTCAGAAAAGTGCCTCATAGGCCTCCCCAATCTTACATTATACATAATAAGCAGAAGTAAATGAAATTGAATTTCGATTTTTCAGAAAGGCAACAAAGATTTAGAAGCACCTGATTAAATGTTTAACAAGTTATTAGTTGAATGCATGCTCTAGCTGAAAGTAAATTCATTTCCTAATAACAAAAACATATACATAAAATAATATTTTAGAGTTAAAAGATACCCTGATTTCCCTTTTACAGAAATTGTTTATCATATATTCATAATTTAAAGAGAAATACAAACATTTCAGTTCATTCTGATTTCTCATATTGTCAAGTTTGGTTTATTTTGAAAGAATATTCAAACTGTTGCCCTTCTGACTTCAGTCAGAAGAGTCAGGTAGACAATCAGAATGCCTTTTCTGTCCACACAGACTAGAAAATTGTTGAGAGAAAATTGAGATAAGAGGGGCATAACAGGAATGCTGATAAAGCAGTTTAGATTAATAGTAGAACGGGTCCAGAAGTATGTAGTAACAGCAAAGAAAAGGAATCAGCCTAGCAATAAACGAGAATTAAACGTCACAAAATTGATGCATAGAAGAGCCCAAATATTGATGAAATGAGAAGAGCAAATCTGAAATCTGCAGCAGAATGAACTACGTCAGACAGAAGAATTTTTAAAACAGAAAGTTTGCAAACGAAATCAAGCATGGCAGTGGGAATCGGAAGATATGATCCAAGAAGATGAGAATGAAGACAAAGTGAAAGAAGCAGCAGTAGAAGAGGGCAGGAGAACACAAAAAAATGAATACAACAAAAGGAAAGGTTAAGTAGAGTATTTATGATTTCAACAAGTGCAGTCTAGCTTCTACTTAGGGAAGAATAACATTTTTAGTAAAGCTGTTCACATTTCAAATTCTTAGAAGGTTCATATCAGAAATATTTTCAACTGCTTTTAAAGTTTTGTTGTTATTCAGTTTCTGCAGTTTAAAATAAAAAAAAATTGTTCATAACATCACTTTTTGATAATGTTAATATATAGCTACTTCCTGCTTTCTCTACTACTAATAATTATGCATTATATTTTCTTTTTATTGCCTTTATTTAGCATAGTTATATCTAATTTTGCAATGATTCCTACAATTATCAAATGGTCAAGCTGCTGTTCTTCTTTTATAGCCTCTTGAACAAGTATAAGCCTGGCACATTCCAGATGTTTTCAAGTAGAAGTACTACTACTCCTTTGCCATTAAAACTACAATAACTAAGGCAGAGGAGAGATAAAGTCAACAAAAATATCTAGAAGGCACCAAGTTGTCCATCTTTACCATTGCTATCAATCAATGGAACAGATTGTAACCTACACCAAACAAATAAGCTCACTGCTGATGAATTGCTATTTACTTAGATTGGGCTTCCTCTACCTGTGGTCATGATGGTCTATGAAAATGAGGAGTCTCTCCCTGCAGGCAGCAAATAACTGGGCACCCCATGTGGCCATAAGGGGAAATGCCTGGCAACTCCCCACCTGTCAATTTCTACATTTTCAGTAAGGTGGCAGGGTTGAAGGACATGATAAAAAGACCAAAACCAGAAGTAGCCTGCCAAGGTATGTGCCACCATGACGAGATGAGAGACTTCTTTTTTGGTTTTGGGGGTGGGGGGGGGAAAGATTTCTTTGATGGCTTACAACTAAGGGCAAGAAAAAGGCTCTTGGATACTGGCCATCATATTGACCAGAACGGGCATGTTCTGATATGCTGTTAGATTTCTGCAAATGCTATAGACCTGTACCAGAGAGGAGCTTATAGCGTGGTAACATTAATAAACAGAACAGCCCTTTCAAGTTCTGTTTCCTTTCAAATGTAAAATCAGAATATTTGGGTGATACAAAGCTAGTTTCCCTTTGTTCCTCCCTCCCTCTCTATTAAATTGCCAAGATATTAAGGGATATACATTGCAGTTCTATACATTTTCTGAACAGCTTATTAGAAAGCATTTCATTCAATCCATAAACAGTTTCTTCAGTTTAAAAGCATGTTGGTTTTTAATGTAAAAATCTGACACTGCATGAGCCTATTCCTCTCCTGCTCTGATTTCTGGAAAAACTCAGACATAATTTAAAATGTAACTTTCTGAACTTAATGTAATTTGTATGTTGTTTAGGAGGATGTTCTGTCTATATAACTAAGAAAAAAATGGATGTGTAAGTAGGATATGACTTTAGATCCTACTGCCATCTAAAGATATGTAAAGAATGTGTGGTCTAAAGAGAATCACAGCTGCAATTCTCTGTTATGGAGAACGTTTTTCTCTGCTTTCGTGCAACACAATCATGACACTGAAACAAAGAAAACATAACCAAAATAAAAGGTTTCAGAAACCAAAGGATTTAAGCCATTCTTCTAATGGAAATTCTAGTTCAAAAGAAAAAAAAAAACTTTTGTTACCAATTGTAGGAGTAGTAGCTGCACTCAAGGAATTGGTGGATGAAATAGAAGAGGTGCTTTCAGCACGTGCTAAAGGTGCTATTGGAGGAGGACTAGATGAGTGAACTGGAGGGCTGAAAGGTCTGGACTATAGATAAACACAAACAACATTAAAAATATATACAATAATCACTTAGTAAACCCCCTGAAAAATATTCATAACTCTACACAGTCTTAGATTTGGGGGATATTGAGAATTAATCCATACATATTAAATAGATGCTTACTCTGATTTCTCAGCAGCCATTTCCTGACTACAATTGATTGCAAGTTTCGTCTTTAATGAGTATAATCTTTCGTTTGCCAGCTCCCAATCTTTGTTGAAGAAGAGTGTGAAGCCACAGATCTGGGCCGCTTTTGAATTTTTTTTGTTTTGAAGCCTGGGGAGAAGGCTGAAGAAGCACAACGGAGGGCAAAACCCTGCATCCATCCTTAAAATCCCTAAACCAACCCCAAAAGCATGTCTGATCTTATCCGCTTATGAGAGGACAATAGCTGACCAAAGTTAGATATTCCAACCTGATCTATAGGTTCTGGATTCAGACCTGCCATTCAGTAAATGGGATTGATAAGGACTCACCTGATAGGAGCTAGGACTAAATTGTTAGGTGATTTCTCTTTTCTCCCACAGACTTAAACCCCATCTCCCAGGTTCTCTAGTCAGAGAACAGTTTTTCAAAGGACCATAGTCTCCCGACCTGCTGACTTTCAGCAAGTTGTAAATTAACTAGGCATTTTCAGTTAATTTGCAAGGCAAGCTGGCAATTTAATTCAATCTAAGTTCAGGCCCAGAGTTCCATCCTAGCAAACTGGATTCAAAGAGCAAGGCAGGAAATGAAGAATTCCAACAGAGAAGAGTAATACACTTAGGGGCCCATGAGAATAGGTTGTAATAGGAAATTGTTACAGCTTTAACTATACTTGGACAAAGCCTTCAGATGCCTATCAGTTCTAATTTGAAGGGCATATATTATTTGAAGGGCATATATTTATAAAAAACCTTGCTCATACTATGAGCTTCTCCCCACAGATATGGACTTTTCTGTCTATCTTCTAGCTCTGTGCCCAAAGCTGATGATGCTCCTGTGGGCCAGGTGGTCTCATTTTTGGTGTCTCTGGGCGCAGAGGCTAGAGTAGTACAATCTAAAGTAAACCTTATAACGTACTGAATTCTGAACTCTTTGTATCAGTACTGCTACTTGGGCTGAACTTCTCCGTATTATCTATTAACCAATTAATTAATTAATTAATTACCTAGTCGGGTAATGAAACATCTGCAATCAGACCATCAAGCTCAGAGAGCACCAAGGACTCCACAGTTCGTTATATATTTTATTTACTTACTGAATTATCACACTCATATACTGCATACTCACAATAAAGCCAGCCCACAGTGGTTAATATCGTACTTGTTCACATCTACAGCATTTAGCTGCTCCATAGTAGGCAGAAGACATCCTAATTCAGTGCAGTTAGCAATTTGTAAAAAAGCTGAACATACCACATCAACACCTGGCTTTCCTGGAGGAAACTTTGGACGTGACAGGGGTCGAGGTGGTGGTGGTGGTGGTGTAGTGCTGCTGCAAGTTGTCAGTGGGGTTGCAGGGCGAGCAGGTGATGATGACCCTGGAAGAAATGTCCCTTGTAAGTATGGTATTAAGGTGTTCTCATGGCAGTTCCCTCCTACCTTTGAAGAATATCCCACAGCATGGAGTAGTCAATCAAGCTAAACAACTGCAAAACCAGCTTTGGATTCATATATGGGGACAGAAATTGGATGAAGTCAGAAAGTTGCTAACCAGATAGGTAACCCAGTGCAGTTTTCACAGGTATGTGACAATTAACATACTTTGGCTAAATTTGCTTCTGCATAAACCTTGTGAAGTTTAATTAGAAAGGAACACTGGTTGAACTGCACCCATTTTAGATCAATTGTGGCTACTCAACATTCCAAAATATTGCCTTCTTTCTTTAATATTAACTTGTGGACAATATGTTCTTGTTCTGAAAATATAATAGGGGACACTGCAAAAAGTAACCATGATGAAACTAGATACAGTGCAAAACCTATGTACAGTGGTACCTCGGGTTATGAACGCCTCTGCTTACGAACTTTTCGGGTTGCGACCAGCTCCGGCTGCAAAAATTTACCTTGGTTTGCAAACTCTGCCTCGGGGTACAAACCGGATCCGCGGCCATTTTCTGCCGTGACACGTGGTCCGCGGCCATTTTCTGCCCGTGCCACGTGGTCCGCGGCCATTTTTCCGCCCGTGCACGTGGTCCACGGCCATTTTTCCGCCCATGCCATGTGGTCCGCGGCCGTTTTTCCACCCTGCCGCGTGGTCTGCAGCCGTTTTTCTGCCCTGCCATGCGGTCCGCGGCTGTTTTTCTGCCCTGCTGCGTGGTCCGCGGCTGTTTTTCCGCCCTTGACGCGTGGTCCACGGACGCCGGAACGGATTAACAGTAATTACATTGAACCTTATGGGAAAATTTGCTTCGGGCTGTGAACAAATCGGGTTGCGACCAGAGTCACGGAACGGATTAAATTCGTAACCCGAGGTACCACTGTATATTTATTTAGAAATAAATCCAAATGTGTTCAGTTGTATATACTCCCATGTAAATGGATTTGCAACCTTTGTGAATGGTAACTCACAGTGGAAAGGAAGTATAAAAAGCTGGCAAATCAGAAAACAACCAAGGATGACTAAAATTGTGAAAATCTGATGTTACTCTTTGGAGAAAAATGCATGTATTTAAGAAACTGATGTAATTCTTACTCCTTCAAGGTAATTTTTACCAAAATGTTGAACAAGTTGTCTACATTGCCACTGACAATTGTTAAGCAAGCTGTGTCATTTATAAAAGTATAATACTGAAACTGATTAAGTCACATGCCAATGTAAATCCAGCTACCATACAATTTCTTACTTTTTTTTGCCAACAGACTAGAATGTCTTTTTTGAAACTTAAGAATATGAGGGATCTTTAAAAATGGGCCTAACAGAACTACAATACCATGTCCCAGATGTCTGTCAGTGACATCTGAGCTATTACTTGTGTTTGGTAACATCAAAAGTTTATTTTAATTGGAAGAATCCATGCTGTGCCTTCTTTCTACCCTATCAGTATTCTTCCTGGAAACGAGAACAGTTGTAGCCTGGAAGGAATCCACAGCATGGACTCCTTGTCTGCACGGTGAGCAGACAGTACTGATTAGTGAGCATCACAGAAGGAGTTGTGCTGCAGTTGCTCTTATGCTGCTAAAGGGAACAATAAAAACGGCCCATAAAACTTGTAAGTATATATATTATTAGTATACTTATTATATTATCCATTCCAGTGGATAGTACAATCTTTTTCCCCTTTCTGCCAAGATGAAAAACACATACATCAACAATGGCTGAATGATAGGGCTGGGCAAAGCATTTGAAAGGGATGCTTTGTCAAACGTGGTGTGAATGAAGCACCCTTCCTTGAAGAGTTAAAGCAGCCACATCCACCGGAAGGCTTGGAGTAACTGCTCGGAAGGATTTGCCTTCTTGTCTGCATGGATGGTATGTGTGCATGCAATGTCACTTTGGGGCCAGTCTCTCTAGAAGTATTGTCTGTACATGCATGCAAATACACAGGCAGCTAAGAAAGCCTTCAGGAGGAGGAGGAGGAGGTTACTTTAATGCTTTGAGGAGGAATACTTGGCTTATGTAACATACTTTGCAAAGAGCCCATTTTAAATGTTTGGCACAGCCCAATTAAATGGCAAAGATTCAGTTCAAGTGAATAAAGAAAGGAGGTCCAATCAGATTTTAGTTGTGTTGTACTTTCATAAGTCCTAAAGTGAACCCTTTAGTGTCAAACAAGACATTCTTGTCAGGAGGGTTGATTTATCTTATCAGTATTAGTGAGACTTATAAGCACTGACTGATCACATGCTTCATGCAGTCAGTAAAACACTCAGCTGCAAGGAGAGGGTGGATGGATGGAGCTTTAAAATACAGCACCAAAAATTATTATGGAATGTTTGTTGCGTTAATAATGTCCCATTTGCTAGGCATGCTCTGAATATTTTGCCTACCCAAGATAAGGTTTTGGAAAAACTTTGACAATTCAGTTTATTTTTAAGTGATCCTGTACTGCTGGAGTAGGACATTCTTTGCTCTGAAACTACCCTCCCTTCCTTCCTTCCTTCCTTCCTTCCTTCCTTCCTTCCTTCCTTCCTTCCTTCCTATCATAAAAAGTATTTCTGAAAAATGATGACACAAATATTAATTCTGTACTGCTGTACAACTCATAATTTCTAATAATTTCTCTATTAGTGATAAATGAAAGAAAGAGGGAATGTATAGTGATGAACTATGCTATGAAACTGATGGAACTTTTGTAAGAATACATCTATCTTCCAGAAGCACCAACAGAGCTTTATATTTAAGGGATGATATACAATGTTGAAAATGTTCTTACAAAATCTTCAGATAGCTCAACAATTTTCTAAAATGTAATATTTAGGGTAGAAATCACTAGATAGCTCTGTCTCAAAATTAGAACAAGAAATTGACACTTTTTAATAGAACTATCAAATCAGTGCCCATGTAATATGTTGAGGTTGATTTGATTGACAACAGAAAAGGCATTATTTTGAAGCTTCTGATCCAATTCCAATCAATAGTTATGATAATTTTGGTGGTAACTGGTATTTCAAAGGGCTAGGATGGTCATTCACACATACACACCTTTTTTTTTTTTTTTTTGGTTATACTGGATGTGCTTGGTTCTTTTTTGGGGGGGGGGGGGGGCTTGGCTTTATAGTTGTTTCCTATTTTTAATTGTAAGCTGCCCAGAGTTCTCTGGAGTTGTGCAGCCTCTATATAAAATAAAACAATAAAATAAAATAAATCAATCCCTCTCTTTCCCTCTAATTATTAAGCAAATGTATTCATTCTTTATGAGTTCTTAACATATATTGCAGAATTCAGAATCATTGGATTAAGCTGCATTATTTTTAGTAGGACTGGTGTCTGAAAATGCACTCCTTTTCTCCAATTTAATCCACACATGAAAACTTCATGCAAATCCGTTGTGGTAAGTACACAAGAAGAAACTTCCTTAATAGCCATCAACTGTGTCCTTAAAAGTGTCCAAACAAACAAAAACACAACAGCCCCAAAATATATTGTGAGAATTGATTTTAGTTACACAAGAAATGAATTTTGAGATAGGAAGGAGTATCTGTCTATAGACGCATACTTCCCTTAACTGTATATATAAAAACTGTAAGAAATGCTAAAAGCCTGATTAACTTCAATCTTCCGGTTCCAGTTGCTCGTGGGAATAACAAGCCAAACAGATAATGCAAAATCTACTTTTTCACTTGCTTTTTAAAAAAAATATGAATCCTAGATTGCTGTAAATAGATAATGCTGCAGATATATTGCAAATACATCCCAGGGCTAACTTGTATTTTTCAGAGAGAACAACTTAGTCTGAATCCACTGTCAACCTTCAGGGAAATAAAACAGTTCAAGGGATAAGAGAAGTCTTTTCTCCCAAATGAATTTAACTTTGAAAGGCTGATTACTGATTTTTAGTAAAAAACAGTTTAAATAAAAAAAAATGTATTTCTTTCATCTAGGGCATTTCAAACTTTGCATTACTGTTTTTTTTTTTATTACAATGATAAGCAATATAAAATTGTTTGCACTTAGACCAGTAGTTATTCATTTCATCATCCCTCAGTTGGTAGAGTCTGCAAGCTTTAAACTATTCCATTAGTCATATCTGGAACATACAATGCCATTCCTTGCTTTAAAAGAAAATGATAATTTTAAAGAATAATAATAGCATTTATTTTGTTTGCTAAAAATAGTAATGATGAAATTTGCTATTAAGGAAAAATTTATAACATTGGAGGATAAGTTCTAAGACCTCTATTAATTTTTTTGCCTCAAAATAGGAGTTGAATATACTCCCTCTTTCTGTTCCCCTCTCTAAGATCCCCCTTTTGCCACAAAAGTCATTTTCTTTGAAAATAGGGATTAAGTAAGTATCAGCAGGGAGAGGTTATCTAAGACAAGAGAGAATTGTTCAGTCTCAACTTAGCTGAATACATTGTTGATTTCCTATCAGTAATTTTGCAATATATAGTTTCACTTCCTTCCAAAATTGAATTGGGAGCCAGAGAAAAATACAAAGCATATGTTGCCCAAAAGAAGTTACTGACTTGACATGGTCAAGAAATTATTCCCATATAAGTAGAGACATAGTCTTTTTCAGTCTTTGGACAGTGACCTTTGTTTCTAGTGACAATGGGAGATGAGTTTAGCTTGTTGCTTGTAGAAATAATAGGATGCATGTTTCACTCCCATCCTTCCTTTTTTTTTTTTTTGGTAAGTTACTTAGAGAATACATTAGGAAATATTATAAAGTTTTTAAAGTATTTGCACAAAAGCAGCCCAAAATATATTTTTTTCCCAAGGGAAGCTTGTGCATTGTAGATCTGAAGACTATAGAGGACTGTACCAAGAGTCTGTCATTTGGCTATTACATTCAAACTTAAATGCAGCACCTAAAATTGTATGCATTATTTAAAAAAAAAAAAAGTCACTGTAAGGGAAGCAATTTTCTTTGTGAGGACAAGGGGAGATTTAAATCCTTTTTTGTCCTGATAAATTCCTATGGAGCTCCTATTAATCATAAAATAGTTAAAGGTATTTTCTTGTCATTGCAAAGAACAGGAGTTTTCACTGATGTCATTTGGGGCTCCTTAGAGTCCATGGTACACAACAGCTTCAGAAGTAGTCGAATATGCTACCCATCTTTGTTTCTTAGGCCACTACAATAGTCTGCTATATCCACACTCTTACCTCCAATGAAACAGCATTTTGTAGTATTGCTGTTGGGATCATTAAGATTAAAGTATGATCTCTCTTAAATTGAGCTCAACTCCTGATGACTATATGGACATGTCCATGTTTGTTTGTTTTTCAAATTTCATATCTAGATGCACAGTGGAGCAGGAAAGACAGAACTGGCTCTTTCTCTGTTGATTAACAGTATAACTCTTTCCATATCCCTTAGCTGATGCTTGGGCTACTTTTCATGAAGGGTTTAGTGCTATTCTGGAATAGCACTAAACCCACTTTTTTAAAAAAAGAGCCTATCAGCTGATATAAGCTAATTGCCAGGCTCCTTTTGAATGCCAATCAAAATTTGCATGTTTTTCCATTGGTTGATGATGTTTGATGGGAGGAGAGGAAAACAAAGCCAGGGGAGTCCACCAATCCCTGTTCTTAATATTTCCTGTACCATTTGCTGACACCATTCTGTGATGGGACAAGGATCACTTCAGTGGATATAAGACTTGAGAGAAAGAAATATTCTTTCATTTAAGGGTTTAATAGATACATATGTGCTTATAGTTATGCTTTCCATAAGAAGCACAGGAAGCATTTCCTGGACAAATGTGATCCTTCCTGTTACTGTTTAAGTGATATCAAATTGTTTTTTAATGACGACTGATCATAGAAATAACCAGTCCTGAATCATAGATGAAGGGGGGGGAAAGCTTATTAAACTTCTTTTTTCTGCAAAAAGGTCAAGAAGAATCTGTGGTAACTTGACAAAATATGAGGTATTTTGTTATGCTTTCCTCCTGAGGAAAGATCACCGAGTGAAGTAAAATAAAATACTACATTTCTTGATTCAGAGCTTTGATAAATTTAGAGCATTCCTGATGAAGATAATTTCTACCTTTACCTGGTACTTAAGACATAAAGCTCTCCCATCAACAATTAGACATTCAGCAATGATAGGAAAATAAAACATACTATCAAGGATTCACAGTTAAGTTGGATCACAAGAGCACGGAATTAAAAAAAAAAAAAAGGCCACTGGGCACAGTACAATCAAACAAAAGGGAATGATTGATGCTAAAAGCCAAAAAAAAAAAAAAACTAACAGTAGCTAAAAAGGTTTTTTTGGTTCACACGGCAGCATTCATGGCCACACCGAAGCACACTCAAAGCTGTTTAGACATACCACTGGTGCTTCCTGTGCCACCGCCAGAGCTGGGTCCGGGTGATGACACCACTGTCCTGTAGGTAGGAGGTGGAGGGGGAGGCGGTGTTGCTCTCTGTCCCACCCCAAAATCTTTAGGAGATGCTGCTGGTGCTAAGTTATCATCTTTAACGTGGGTCTGCTCTGAAACTTTCTTCTGAACCTCTTCTAAATTGAGTGGAGATGGAACATTGCGAGAGATTTCAGCCTCTGGAGGCTCATCTGGGATTTCTGATGCCACAGGTGGGGACACCACTTTTTCCCTTGAAGTCACCTCTGGAGTTACGTTTTCCGGGGACTGATCAGAAAAACTGATCCATTTATCCTCCACGTTATCAGCAACAGACGTGGGGGATAATACTGGGCCAAAAATGCTGTCCAAGTCATTGATTGATGGTAGTTTGTCACTTTTGACCTCTGTTGCTGTCTGGTCATTTCCTGTGGTTAAAGTAGTTGATTTCAAACTTTAACATCAACTTGTACAGTTAAGTTGTATTAATGCTCTACTTATGTATGGGGCTTTGAAAATTAGACATTTTGATAACATATTTAAAAGGTGCTTTTGAGAACATAGCTCATGCACAGGTATCCATATAACATGTGAAAAGTATGGTATACTTATCTTTGAAGTACAATCCGTGTAAATTACATTCTTCTTTCAAAATCAAATATTATATATTGATAGAGAAAATTATCTAGACAACTCAACTGACACTGATTTTATTACTAAATATTAGAAGAAAAATGGCAAAAGAATCCATAATTTAAACATGGTGATGTATATGCACATATGAACATGTATACTGAAAATACTTGAATAATGCACTGGATTATGTGATATGCATTGTGACATTATTTTAGCAAATCAAAATATCATTCATAATACATTTCTATTCTTGAGCTGAACAATCATTAATGCCCAATAAATTTTAATAAATGTAGCAGAACATTTCACAACAGATGTGTTATGGGACAGGAAAAGATTCTTGCTGAAAAAGAGTTTTGTAAAACATTTTTTAAATTAATGGATGCTATATTCAATTAATTGTTGCATTACTAATTTGCAGTGTTTTGGATACCCTGAAATTAAATAAACGTTTTCTAAATTCTTTTCCTTCTGTGAAAGAAAATTCAGTATGTGTGTTAAGCTCTGTGATTAGTTGCTATCCAACAAAAGTCAAGCAAATTTAATTTCCAATGACAACAATAGATATCCCCCTCTGTTTTATCTGAAATGGTCAGAATTTTGCAAATCTGCATACATAATAGAAAACAATCCTAGAACTATTTTCTTTTCATAGAAAAGAGGAAGAATATTCCATATGTGCAGAGCTCTAGATCTCAGCTAATATGTTCATTATTGGAACATAACTTTTGCAATTATGACTGTAGGATATATAACCAAAATGCCCAGTTTCTTTAGGAAAGCAAAATTATATTAACTTTTCATTCAATCCCCTAACCCCATTACAGTATTCCAGATTAAAGAAGGCTGCATTTGAGAAACATGATCATTCTATATTTTATTATATTTGTACTCTACCTTTCTATCAAAGTGTGGCACACAAGGGAGGTAACCACCTAACACAGGCCATGGATATATAGATGAAATACTGATGAACACAGAAAAAATTCTAATCCAAAATGTTATATATGTTTATAAAGAAATGTTGAAAAATTGAGTTTGTATGCATGGCAAAAAGTAAACATTATGCTCCTTATGGTATCATGTGTTCAGAAGCCATCTTTGGAATCTATATATAGGTATAAAACTCTACCTGTGAATCCCAGATAATCTCAATTGGCACCCATTGTTTCCCAGTGAGAACATATAGCTAAATGTTCATTTGCAGTATTTCTTTGAGCCACAATGGCTGAGATCCTTAGTTTTTATCTAAGATTCTTATTCATAAAATAGGACTTTCCCATCCTTCTTTTGCTCTGCAGCTTCATGATTTCCCAGGGATGGGGACACTTTGGAAATAGTCTGAGGAAGAATTTGTAAAGATTAGTTCCTCCCTTATGTTATAGAGAAACAGCTTATGATCTTTCTTCTTCCCATCAGATCCCAGTATCTTAATTACGTTCAGATACAGTTTTATATGAACTCCATAATTCAGTGCTATTTCCATCGTACAGCAGGACCTCTTGTTGATAACAGAAGAATCCCTAAATGTATTGAGATTCAAGACAAACTTATTTAAGGCTCCCAACTTCTTTTCTTATACAAACTGAGTCTACTAAACAAAGGCCTACTGATAAAATTATCAAAAAACATTCAAATTAAGTTTAAGACCTTAATACAGCACAGGTAACAGAAGCATTTCAAAATTTCAAGGGTTTTAGAAGATAATCCATAAAGCTTCATCAGATTTTTTTATATCTAAAAAGGAAAATCTGCTTAGACTATTTGGTGAATGGAAATATTAAATGCATAGGATTACATATGCATAATATTATTAAGAAATGGTTATGACATTCAGATTCAGTTCATATTAAAGGTTCATAATATATACTAAAAAAGTTTATCATTATTGTGCAGCATAATATACAGGTATTACACATAGTGACCATTTGGGTCAAATATTCTTACCTACTCCAATTGTTAAAGGAGAACCAGTGTGGGGAGGTGTAGCTGGAATGTTTTTGGGTGGAAGTGGTGGAGGTGCTGAAAGATAAAAGGAATATTTTAAAGAAAAGGATGGACAAAGCTCAACCACAAGTACATTGATAACTCAATCTCATCTAGAGATAGCTGCAATCCAGAGAGTTCATTGTACAAGCAGAACACACTTCCACTTGTGCAAGACCACCAATTGTTACCTTCAGCTTCTGCCCCTTAAAGTACATCCCATAATTTCATACAGACTATCTCTACCATCAGAAGTGGTTCTTTGTGGGGGAACAAGGGGAGCAGATGTGAAGCAAAAAAGTTATGTTCATTAGTAGAGTACTATTCATGCTTCTACATATGAACATTTTTTTTTCTTCCTAGCGTTTTTCCCACAGGTGCAGGGCCTGTTTTTTCTGATCGACCTGACATTGTGGGCTGAGAGAGAGTGACTGGCCAGCCAGCTTTCATGCCTAAGGTGGGACTAGAACTCACAGTCTCCTGGTTTCTAGCCTGGAGCCTTAACCACTAGACTAAACTGGCTCTCCTTCTACATATGAACATAGGGAGTCCATAAAGCTAAGTGTTGTGCAAATTCATTCTTTATGTCTAAGGCAACTTTCTATAATTTAATTGGCATTTAGATCTGCTTGGATCACAACATCTAGAAATCCCAACCTGTATGGTTGAGAATTCTGATGTTGCAGTCCCAACGTGTTGAAGGGCTACCAACTGTGGAAAGCTTTATGAAAGTCAGAAGGAGAGAAGCAATACATTCAACCTGATATCTTTTCAATGAATCCAAGAAGAGAAGTTAAGTCTTGTCCTCTCTGTCATTCTGGGACAGCAGAGTTGGAATTATGGAAATAATAAAGCATATTGGTCTATGAATTTTATTTTGAAAAGAGAAATTAGTTGAATTGTTTTCTTAAATTGGGAATATACATTAATAATGTACAGAACATTATACATTTTACAATGAATATAGCCATTTTTTAAGATAAATTTCTCCTATTTTCCAGTGAATTTATCTTCTGCTTAACTACCTAATACGCAATATTGGTAGTGTATTAAGAAAAAACTTTGATTGAAATTGTACAGTGGCATGGCATGTAGAGATAAAGTCTTAGTGATTTTGCAGTATATGGCAAGAAAGGATAGCCTTATCAGGCACAAATTAAAGAAATTAGGTGGGATTTAAGATTCCTGATCTTCAGTTTCTTCCTTGGTACTTTTTTTATATTACTACTCCACACTCCTTTTAAGGTTTTAATGAATGAATGAATGAACTAGGCTTATATGCAGCTCCAACTGTCAGCTGACTGTGCAATTTACAGTCCTACCATATGTAAAACAATGAAAAATAACCAACCAAATAAATAACATTCCAAAATAAAATATTCCTATGCTGAGGAATCATAAAGACCCATACAAATCATATGCATTTACACAGAAGGAATTTCTCTTGATTCATCTTCCCCTTAAAGGCCTGCTTAAATCGTTAGGTTTTAACTGACATCCTATTCCCAATAATATTGGAGCAAGTGAAATCTCTGGTGAAGATTTAGTTTCAGAAAAGGGGGTTAATAATTGAGAAGCCCTGCCTTCATAATTCTTGTAATAATTTTTAAGTCTTTACAGTAAAAGCTTTTAACCAACAGCATAAAGTGCTTTTTTAAGCACTTCAAAAGGACATACTTAAGTGTGTAATCATAGTCTTATTTATTACAATATTTCTATATTGCCCCCTTCCAAAGCTACTCAAGGCAGGCTTGTGGAAAGAATGAATGCCCCGAAAAGAATTAGCGGATGTCAATCTCACTGTGTGCGCTTGCTGCAATCTAAACGATGCTTAGGATATGTTTGGCTGTGGATTATTTCAACCACAAGTTATATATCCTCTACTTGTATGTAAAAAGAGAATAACTCAATTTTGCATCCATTCATTGTGATATATGAAACACATAGGATAGTTCTCTTTGGAACTGTTGTTATTTGGAATGGAAAAATGGCGTGTATTGGGTTTGCTTACAGTTAACATGGTGTTTAAGCTTTTTTCTCTACAATTACTCTAGAAGTAAGGGATATTTGTGAACTTTTTTTTCAAAGGAGAAATGTTCCCTCTTTGTCATGTTACATTGTAGTTCTTTGTTTACATTAGGATATCAGGACCACTTTATGTCTTTTAAATGTGATTTTACTTACAACTAAGAGTTGAGACGTAGAATGTTGAGTTTTACATTAATTAATGTTATTATTTTAGGGCTCTGTTTGGACTTTTTGCTGACACCTGTATTGGAGCAGATGTTACTTATTGGATTTGCCTATAGTTAGTAGAGGAGTTATGGGAGGAAGAGTTTTATATCTGTTAATTAAGAGGAGGTAAAGAGATTATGAAATTGTTTATACTTGTCATGATGAGGTGGGAAGTTGCTTTCTTAGGGTTTTTTCCCCTCTTTTTTTTTTTTTTTTTTTGTCCCTTTTTTTTTTTTTTTTTTTTTTTTTTTTTTTTTTATTTTTTTAT